ACCCCCTCAAAGAACATTAACAGGTTAGTGAGACAAGATCTTCCCTTACAGAACCCATGTTGAGTCTGCCTCAATAGGTTTTGTTCATCTATGTGCCTACTAATTCTTTCCTTAATAATGGTTTCCACCAATTTACCCGGTATCGACGTCAGACTGACTGGCCTGTAATTTCCCGGATCTCCTCTGGAACCCTTTTTAAAGATGGGAGTGACATTAGCTACCTTCCAGTCCTCAGGAATGGAGGCTGATTTTAAGGAGAGATTACATATTTTTGTCAGGAGATCCACAAGTTCACAATTGAGTTCTTTCAGAACTCTTGGATGTATGCCATCTGGGCCTGGTGATTTATCAGTTTTTAAGTTGTTTATCAGTTTTAGGACCTCCTCTCTCGTCACCTCAATCTGACTCAGGTCTTTCAACACCCCTCCCGAACTCAGCGGCTCTGGAGTGGGCAAGCACCTCTCATCTTCCACAGTGAAGACGGAGGCAAAAAATGCATTTAGCTTCTCAGCCATTTCCCTATCATCCTTCAGTACTCCTTTTACCCCTTGGTCATCCAAGGGCCCCACTGCCTCCCTGGCTGGTTTCCTGTTTCTAATGTATTTGAAGAAAGTTTTATTGTTGGTCTTTACATTTTTTGCTATATGCTCCTCATATTCCCTTTTTGCATGCCTGACCACAGACTTGCATTTTATTTGCCATAGCCTGTGTTCTGTTTTATCAGCCTCACTGTGACTAGCTTTCCACCGCTTAAAGGAATCCTTTTTACCTTTTACAGCTTCCATTACTTTGTTTGTTAACCATGTAGGCTTTTTCTTATACCTGTTTGTGCCTTTCCTAACCTGCGGAATATATTTTATTTGAGCTTCTAGAATTGTAGTTTTAAACAGTTTCCAAGCTTCCCCAATGGTTTTGACCCTTTCTACTTTTCCCTTCAGTTTCCTCCCCACATGTCCCCTCATATCAGAAAAATTACCCCTTTTAAAGTTAAAAGTGGTTGTGTGAGTCTTTTTGGCCAATTCCCTATTTGTACAAATGTTGAACTCAACAACATTATGATCACTGTTCCCAAGCGGTGCAATCACTTTTACATCTCTCACCAGGTCTTGAGTGTTACTTAGGACCAAATCAAGGATCGCCTCTCCCCTGGTAGGTTCCATGACCATCTGCTCCATAGCACAGTCATTTAGAGTGTCTAGAAACTCAATCTCTTTCTCTCGACTAGAACACATATTGACCCAATCAATGTGTGGGTAGTTAAAATCACCTATTACGACACAGTGTTTTTGTCTAGCTGCTATCTTTAATTCATTCATCATTTTATAATCCTCCTCTATCTTTTGATCCGGTGGGCGATAACAAACTCCCAGTGTTAAGTTTCCTTTTGGCCCCCCTATTTCAACCCACAGAACTTCAAGAAGCGAATCCAATTCTCTTAGCCTCTCGATCTTTCTGGACTTTATACCCTCTCTGACATACAGAGCCACCCCACCTCCAACCCTTCCCCCCCTATCCTTCCGATATAATATATAACCGGGAATCACCGTATCCCACTGATTTTCCTCATCCCACCAAGTTTCTGAAATACCCACAATGTCTATTTTTCCCTCTGACACCAAGCACTCCAACTCCCCGATTTTACCTCGGACACTTCGAGCATTTGTATAGAAACAGCTGTAATTTCCCATACTGGTTAAGCCTGCCACCTTCCTCTTGCAATCTCGAGACCTTGTCAGGCAGTCCATGTCACTAGCCATGGTCTCAGTGGACAATTTCAATCCACCTCCCTGTAGAAAAGCAACAGGTACCCCCTCATCTCTCTGAGATGAGCCAACCCGAACCAGAGACTTTTCATCTCCTGTCGGCTTTCCCCCAATATTCAGTTTAAAAACTGCTCTGCCACCTTTTTGATTTTAAGCGCCAGCAGCCTGGTTCCTTCTCGGGACAAGTGGAGACCGTCTCGCCTGTACAGCTCCCTCTTGTTCCAAAAAGAATCCCAGTGCCTAACAAACCTGAACCCTTCCCCTCTACACCATCGTCTCATCCACGCATTGAGACTCCTGATCTGTGCCTGTCTCTCCGGCCCTGCGCGTGGAACAGGTAGCACTTCTGAGAAGGCTACCTTGGAGGTCCTGGCCTTGAGTTTCCTGCCCAGCAGCCTAAATTTCTCCTCCAGGACCTCACGACTGCATTTCCCCACATCGTTGGTGCCGACATGCACCACGACCACTGGCTCCTCCCCAGCACTATCTACCAGCCTATCTAAAACACGCGTAATGTCCGCTACCTTTGCACCAGGCAGGCAAGTCACCATACGGTCAGTACGCGGGTTCGCCACCCAGCTGTCTACCTGCCTAAGGATCGAATCACCCACTACCAAGAGCCCCCCTCCCACCCTGCCCAGGGATGGTTCCTTGGTGCAAAAGGATAACCGCTCACCAGCTGGGGAAGAGGTCCCTTCTGAGGGCACATTCCCCTTATCCTCAGCACGGTGCCCTGTTTCCCCTAGACCCTCACGCTCCCTGACAGCAGCGGGGCTGCCAGATCCAGAGTGGGACGTAGCTAACAAGTCCCCGAGAGTCTTTTCTGTGCGCCTAGCTGACTGTCTCTGCTTCTCCAGGTCAGCCACCTTGGCCTCAAGGGAGCACACACGTTCCCTGAGAACCAGGAGCTCCTTGCACCGAGCACACACCCAAGACTTCTGCCCAGTGGGCAGATAGTCATACAACACTCCTAAGCCAACTTTCTCATCTGCTTTGTGGTGAACCTAGGCCAGCTTTCTCATAACTTTCTGCCTCTTTCTGCTCACCTCTTTCTCTCCTTTCTTTTTCTCACACCATTGTGAAACCTTTTATGAACTGCAGTATTTGCTTCTTAGCAAAGGTGACGGTTGTCTGAAGAAGCCTCAGGCCTTTGACTCTTCAGTGGATGTTGATACGCTTTCTGCAACCTGCAAAATTTAGTTCTGTGTTGCGCTCCCCACCTTTTAGGATTTTTTGGTGCCACATGATGCAGGCACTAGCTTTTTAAGTGAGAACTGAGTGAGAACTGAGTGAAGGACAGTCCACAAATCAAATCCTTCCGAATTATGTAGCAAAGCAGAAGGTAGCAGGAAGATGTTGTGGTTTCAGTGCATAGGAAATATGGTTCAGGTTGTGTCTTGGATTTGCTTGCATTCCTGTGTAGCTGACACAAGGAATCAAACAGATGAACACTGCAACTTCTGAGACTATAACTGAAAAAGATGCAGCTACTGTCATGCAACACAACTGTCTACCTAAACTCAAGATGTTTTGAATGTCAGTGAAGTAGCTTTGGCTATAAGTTTCCTTCTGCATCTTGCCCACGTGGAGCCTTGCCCAGAGACAGGTTGGCAGGCTTGTATAGTTCTCACCCCTCTGATTAACAAATATAGGGGAAAGCCACTGCAGGCGTTGCTTTTTGAACAGTAATGTCTTTTATAAGAATCTGATGCTGATGGAACATGACCCCACTACCATTTCACTGGCCAGCATTCTGCAAACAACACTAGATTCGAGTCCAGTAGCACCTTAATAAGATTTTCAGGGTATAAGCTTTCGAGAGTCAAAGCGCCCTTCGTCAGATACCTGACAAAGGTAGCTTTGATTCTTGAAAGCTTGTACCCCAAAAATCTTGTTTGTCCCTAAGGTGCTACTAGACTCAAGTCAAGGAGTTCTACTGCAGGCCAACATGGCTTCCCTCTGAAACGGCAAACAGTACTGTGTGTACTCCATTATCAGTTCCCCACTCAGACATCCCTCCCTCCTGCCTTTCTGCCTGATGGTTTTGTGTCTGATTCAGCTATAACTGTAAACGCAAAAGCACTTGTTCCGTAGTATTAAGCTCCTCAGTGAGGATTAGGTTATAGCATTAGTGACTTTTCCTCTTAGGCCAGGAATGTTGTAGGCAGCGTACTTCTGGAATACAAACTGAATTGCTTCCAATTCTTTTGACTCTGTGTAGCATTTTTTAGAACCACAAATCAGTCTTCTTACTAGCCTAAATGTGGAACCGGAAGCACAGCCCGGGTAGCTTGTATCTCTCAAAACTGATGGAGGGGAACAATTGAAAGAGGAGCTCTTGGCTGCTTCTGGAAACTGTCCTCATAACTAATCTTTGAAACTGGGAAGAGCTTACATTTCTGTACCCGTGGGGCAAGCTCCCCCTCTTCAGATTGGTTCAGAAGTTCTCTTGATTTTTCTTAAGAATGCGAACATGGAGAGAGATAGATGGAGTTGGAGGTTTTAATGTAACAGTATTCTGTTATGCTTTGCAAATCTGATTGCAAGGTCTAAATTTCCAGCTCCGTTCCTAATAGGATTTGGTGGATTCTGTGATGCAATACCAGGAATTCAACTATACTATAGATAACCTGTGCTCCATTAGTCACAAACTAGTCTCAGCCTACTTGTTCTTAGAAGGAGTAGTGTTTAAGGGTATACCTGTTGTCTGTTTCACTGTCGTTTTGTGGGGTGGCTACATTTCTTCAAAGAAGAACATAAGCATGACAGAATATTGAGTTTGTGGCCCATATTGCTTGATACTGTCTCATCAAGCTTGCAGCAACTCTCCACAGCTTTCGGCCAAGCTTCTTCCCAGCCTTGCTACTAGAAATCCTTTTTACAGGCGGTGCCAGTGGTTCAACCAGGGACATTTTTAATATTAAACTTGTGATCTGCCACTGCTAAGGCCCATCTTTGTAAAGGAGTTGTTGTGCTCAGTATTCTATAAAGCAGGATCTCAAGGGTTTAATGTTGTGCACTGTCTAGCAACATCCAGGATCTCCAGTGCTTGAGAGAGCCTTGCTGTAGCTTTTGCACCTTGTAAACATGTATTCCAATTTAGAAGTGTGTGAGCAGAGCCTTGGTATGGCTGGAACAGTGGGCTTATTGCTTAGCGCTACTAGCATTTTTCCACTGTAATCAGTAATGGGACCTTGTTTCTCTCTCCTGCCCCTCCTGCCCCTGCAGAGATCCATGCTGAAGAGACTCCATTTATGCAGAAGTGCCCTGGGTCAAGGTGGCACTTAGTCTAACTGCCTGGCAGAATGCCATCCACCAACCGAGCGGGCAGCCTGAAGGACCCAGAAATTGCAGAGCTCTTCTTCAAAGAAGATCCAGAGAAGCTCTTCACAGATCTCCGAGAGATTGGCCATGGAAGCTTTGGAGCTGTTTATTTTGTAAGTGGCTTGAATAAGCTGTGGGGTGTGTGGCTGCAGCCTTTTTGTAATGCATGGAGAAGAATGAACAAATGGCCAGCGCTGAGACCAAGTTGCCATTTCTGTTGGATTATGGTGGTGGATTGCTTATTCCTGAAGCCTTAGTAGCAGTTACCTCCTTGATCTCTATCTGTTGCATATTTGTAATTGTAATTAGGATCTTGGGCCTCTCTACGTGTTTGCTTGTGGTGTCCCTCTCCCTACCTTGGAGCTATGACTTTCAGAGTCTTAGCTGATTCTCCATTTGGAGGCATACAATCTTCCTTCTTCCTCTCCTATCACATATCTTTTCGAGCAGATCCAGTAGTCTGTGCTCCATCTGTTAGAGCATGCCTTCTTGGGCTTTTGAATGGTCCAGTGGTAGACTTGTCCCTAAACTTCAGTGCTGGCACCTTTCACATGGAAGTTTTGTACTGCTTTCTTGTGATCTTTCCCAAACCTAGTTTGGTACAGTTTCTTGGGAAAGATCACAGCCAAAGCACTTTTGCACAGAGTATAAACAGAAAGATGTGCACTGTTGCAGGTCCTGCCGACATCAGCACCATGTTCTTTGTTTGTCTCACATGCCCCTCCCACAACTAGAGAGCTTCTTCAGGCTTTTTAAAAAACTTTGGTAATGGACATAGTGCTGCAGCATTGTTATAGGTTAAGAGAGCCAGTTTGGTGTCGTGGTTAAGGTGCGGACTCTAATCTGGCAGCACCGGGTTTGATTCCCCACTCCTCCACTTGCAGCTGCTGGATGACCTTGGGCAAGCCATAGTTCTGTGAGAGCTGTTCTTGAAAGAGCAGTTCTGGAAATAGCTCTCTCAGCCCCACCTACCTCACAGGGTGTCTGTTGTGGGGAGGGGAAGGGAAAGGAGTTTGTAAGCCACTCTGAGTGAAGGGTGGGGTATAAATCCAATCTCTTCTCTTCTTCTTCAGTTACCAATTTAAATGTAATTAACATTAGGGTTACAGCAGGGTTACTAGATGTCCGCTTTTTTGGTGTCTGTCCTCTTTTGGGCTCTTTTTAAGAAACGGATGAAAATGTCCTCTTTTGGGGTTGGAAGGTTAGGAATATTCCTCGTTAGTAGCAGTGATCACAGCTTAAACAGTAGGGGTATTTAAATTGAGATTTGTCATAGGGATCACTTGTTGGAAGTAGTCAGTCAGGAAATAGGTCCTCTTTTTTGCTTTTCAAAATATAGTAACCCTAGTTATACCTTATAATTGTTAATGAACATACCAGTCATCATAGTTTATTGCTTTAGAAATTTGTACCTTACTTTTCTCCCTAGTGGAGATGCAAAGTATCTTTTCTGTGGCAAAGTAGGGATTCAAGCTTGGGCCTTCCAGGTTCTAGTCTAACAGTCTGACCAGGACACCATTCTGGCTCTCTGGTAATGTCAATTACCTTTTTTTAGAAAGCTGTCTGCTGAAGGGAGGGATTCCCCCAGTACCCCACAGTTGCTAGGGAAGCCCAAAGAAAATTCCTGTGTGGATGGTCTGTTGCTGGAAGTAATACAGAAACTCAACACTATGTGAATGCGACTCTTGAATTCTTGAGTTGCTGCCCTTAGTGGCTAAGCTTTGCTTGTTTCCATGCACACCTCTTCGCAGTTCGCATTCATTTCAGTGGGGCTTCCACTTGAAAAGTTCCAAGTGAATGTACCTTAAATTTCTCTTCCGTCCATACACTTTCTCCATTATTAGCAAAAGAGCCCACTTCAGTGGTCCGTAGAAGTGAAGAGAAAGCTGCAAGAAATGCAGTCCAGTCTCATCTTTGTTAAGGCTCTTAGCATTCTGCAGGAACCAAGGTGCCCCATGCCATGTTTGCCTGCTGTGCAAGGAGTGCATGTACAGCTGGCTCAAGATGTGGGAATTAACAATGGGTGGGCTTCTTTGTGACCCCTGTAAAATGGGCCTCCCAGGAACAACCAGGGCTTTGCGTTGCTGCTCATTTGCCTTGAATTGGGGGATTGTGGCCAAGGCTTTTAATACGGAACGCCAATGGTCTCATCACGAATGAGGAGGAGCACTTTCCTGGAACAATAGCTGACCTAACAAAGGCACACCATTGTGTGAACGTGGAGATGCTTGAAAAAGCAGCACACTGACTTCTATTGTCAGTTTAGCATTCTAGAATGCAGCTGGGAATTGTGCCCCTTTTGACAAGTGCCTAGCACCTGCTTGGGCCATACTCCAGTGAATGCAGTGCAAGCTTCTAATTGTGCAACCTGTGATTCTACTGTTCAATATCCTCTAGACGTCATGGTGGATCAGGTGACAGAAAGCAAAGAAGGCTGCACTGTATGGATTTCCTTCACAATTCTAAGCATATGACCATTTTGTCACTTCTTCAACATCTGGGTAGTTCAGAGAAACCTCCTTTTCTCCCTCCCCCCCGTTGTATGGGGGAAGGGCTTGCAGTGTCTCTGTTACTGAAGAGGGAATTTTTTTCCAGGCTGAGTAGAAAGAAAAGGGATGCAGAAGTCAGTGCAGGCAGCTGATCCCAAAACAGAATCTGCAGTGCATACAGTTGATCCCAAAACAGAATTCATTAAAGCTGTAGTAGAGGACACCAACCCAAATGGATTTCTTCCTTTTCTGCAACTGACGCAACCAAACTCCCCACACACACACTTCTGCTAAGCAGAGTTAAACCTTAAAAACAAAACAAAAACCCTGTTGCATTCCAAAGAGTTGAACAGACAGTAAAGAAGGCTGCACTGTATGGATTTCCTTTGCTTAGTGATCCATTTTAACATCTTCAGCTTCTCCATTAATTGTCCTGTGCCTCTGCCAAGGAAAATATGGTTATTTTTTTTTATGGATTCTACATTACACTGCTGGGCTTTGCACCTGTGCTGAACAATGGTTCAGAAGCTTATAGAGCTAGCCTTTAGGCACAAAAACTTCTTTTCCAGAAAACACAGCCTTGGACTGCACATGCCCCAAGGCAAGGGGATTGTGCTTTTTTCTTTTGTCTGCAGCACCGGCAAGCACATTTGGAAAGCTCTCTGAGAGGTTTTTGTCTTTCCAGAACTGGTTTTGATCTTTGTTCTGTTTAAAATAAAAACAGTTTCCTCTTGGGTAATAATATAAATATTTTTATCTTAGATAGCTGTGTATATAGTTGACTGCTTTCCCCCCCCCCCTACACTAGCTGTCTGCACCTGTGGCAACTCCAAACCCTTACAAGAAGTGTAAGTCTTGCAGGGTTTAAATGCCATCAACTGGTGAATATGATTGGTGTCTCCTGTGTTTAGGCAAATTTCGCTGAGTGGTCTCATGCGCAAGCTGCTTGAAGTTTACCAAGGAGTCAGGAAAGAACACAGCCCTCCTGCCTTTGCACCCTTGTTGTGGGAGAGCTCTCTGTCTGTCTGTCTGTCTGTCTGTCTGTCTGTCTGTCTGTCTGTCTGTCTTTCTCTGTATGGCTCAATCTGTTGTCTCTGTCCAGACGGATATTTGTTTTCTGTTCCATCTGCATCGGCTGGGGATCAGTCATCTTTTCCTTTCTTGTGAATGGAGCCAGCCTTCTCTTCAAAAGATAAAGAGGGAAAAAGCTGAATCCCCTAAGGCTCAAAACCAAAAAAGAAGCACAAGCATTCAACAAGTGCTCTGCCACCAGTTTCAGCACTGCCTGCTGTCTCGGTATCAACCACTGTCTTGGCACTGATTACTGAGGAGATGATCGTGGGTTTTTGTAGGCCACAACCCCCCTGAAGCTATGCTGCAGACAGAGCCTGTTATGTCTCTGTCAAAGTTGCCACTCATGTTTGCAGAGGTCGGAATCCCTATTTTGACACTGAGACTCCTCTTCTCCAAGGTCTTCAGCAGCAACTTACAGAGAGGGTCTGGGAAGAAAAGGCTATCATGATGAGAGATACTTTTATCCTATTTCCCCAGACTTCTCTTCGCATTGGGAGGGGGAGCAGTACTTTCAAAACATTATGCTTCCCCTTTTTGTTTTGACCATTGGGGTCAACTGCAGTGGGAGTCAGTGCCTATTGCTATCATCCTGCTTGGCCCAAGCTGTGACTCAGGGTTTCAGCCATGGGGATAGATTTTAGCTTGCTTTCCCTTTTCACCAAGTACCAACAGTGACTACTTCAGCTTTCATGCCAGCCACTATTATGGACCCAGTTTCACAATGTGAACGCACAGCTACTGTTTCTGCCCCTCCAAGAGACTCGCAGGCAGCTGACCAAAGCTTGCCACTTTTGCCACCAGTTATGATTCAGCCGTAGTTTAAGACTCCATAGCCTGTAGAACATTAGAAACAGAAGCCAACTTTTCCATCTGTCTCTGTCTGTCACCCCTGCCCATAGGCCATCTTCAAAATTACCATTGTGCTCCGTTTCTGATTCCAAGTCTTCAGAGCCTGAAATGCCTCATATCCCTCATATCCCTGTCCTGCAAATTTTTGAATGTTCCCAGGGCAGATGATCCAGTTGGTGAAATTCTTGGGATCGAGGTGGCCAGAGAACTACGGCAGCAAAATGATTCTGTTTTTGATGTTATCCAACTTGAGTAGAGTGCTGCAGTTGCAGTTCTTCTTTTCCACACTGACTGGATTCAGTCAAGGAGGATCAAGCCATCGACCACTAACCCCCCCCCCCCATCTAAGTGTGTTGAGGGCCTCTGTAAAGCACACCCAGAAGGCTGCATCTTTTTGTTCTCCATTCCCAATTTGATTTCTTCTGTAGAAGCAGCACAAGGGAAGGGTTGTTGGATGCCTTATGCAGCTCTGGTCAACAGAGGGAGTGGGGAAAAAGACAGTTTCGGCAGGGAAGTCTACAGTTCTGGAATCCTAACTTTCAAAATTGCCAAATACTACTCTCGTTCGGGTAGGAGTTTGCAAAGGATGAGATATACCTGACCCTTTATTTTTCATAGTGAAATGTATATAGCACCAGCTATTTCTCTTTCCATTCATTGTACATGAGTCTTCATCAAGTGCATGGCACTGGTTGTGGCATACCTTTGGCACTGAGGGATCACAGTCTTCCCTTGTTTTGACAACTAGCTTCTGAATTCCCCTTCACATCGCAGCTATGCATATCTAGCTTCTTTGGGTGAAAGGGGAGAAGTTGTGTCCTGAACTGACTCAATCCTTGCAGTTCATGGGTGCTAAGCTAGATTTCATCACTGTTCAAGTTTGCCTTCCTTGAGACCAAAAAGTGCACTTACGGTCTCAACTTAGCTGTTCGTAGACAAGCCTCTTCGTTTGGTCTGAAGTGTCCAGTGTCTACACGGACTTACACCAGCCTTGATCTCTGTGATGAAGTATACCAGATTGTGTGGCCTTTCCAGTGTCGGCTTCCTCATCATCCGTGCCTGATAACAGGACTCTCAAAAGAAGATCATTCCATTACCTCTGTTAGTGCCACATTCTCTCAGTTGGTGGACTCATTGACAACTTAGACCAAGGTTACTTGTTCTCACCTCCAGAACCTCATCTGATGACATCTGCCTCTCTCTGGGTCTGCAGCACCCACAGCAACATAGGCTGTCTGTCAGCTATGGTCATCACAAGAAAGAAAGCTGCACATCAGTCACCTGGAGCTTCTGGTGGTATAAAAGGCTCTTAGTGCCTTACTCCCCTGTCCACATGGCAGGATACTACAACACACAACCACCATATACTAAATAAACAAGCAGGGTGGTATAGCATCCCACACCCATAACAACTTAACTTGCTGATTTTGGGAGAGATGCACTGAATCTAACATTATGCCCATCACTAACCATGTTGTAGGTCAGGACAGCATCTAGGTTGACACCCTCAGTTGGCAGGGTACTGTGGTTCACTGGTCGAGTTCCCATTCATACTGTTCCAATATCTTGATCTGATTTTTCTCTCAGTTGAGACTTCCTGAGAAAGACTTATTTGTGATGTTCCAGAATGTGAAGTATTGTTCTGTTCTAGTCCAGAGAATGACCTTCACTCTCTTGGAGATGCTTTCCTCTTGGAGACATGATTGGGATACCTGTTCTGGACTCTTCCTCCCATCTGCCTTGTCACCAGAGTCATAGGGAACATAGGGATTGCTGAGACTGCATCCTGGTCATTCCATTCTGGCCACATCAGCCAGGGTTTACAAAGGCCAATACCTCAGCCATCCTAGAGTGCAGGATCTTGCATCTGGACTCATTGCATCCAGCCATCAATCCTAGAAGCAGTACCTATCTAGGTTATGAAAAGGTTGGTGATCTCAGAAGGTCGTAAAAGGAGATACAGACCAAGCTAATTTTCCTATCCAAGGCCTCCAAATAGTTAATGTACATCTAGTAAATGGATTTATAATTTCATTCACCCTTCTTAAGCTCTGGGGCAAAAATGGAATTATTTGCACTGATAGAGTTTTCAATTAAGTCAGTTCCATTAAAACCCATGGCTTTTCAACAGATTTTTGTAATAGAAAAATCATCTGCCTGAGTTGAAATACATCATAGTATAATTTCAAATATGAAATTCTCACATCCACATTTGATGATGATATGGTATATCTTTATTAGGTCTTGATTTCTTGCCTGAATGAATACCTTCCTCCAGTAGGTTATGCCATTTATTAAAAAGAACAGGTAGGATGAGAATTTCCAACCAAGCAATCCAAGCAGCATTGTGCAGGGTTCTCACCAATGCAAAGATACCGTCTATCAGAAGATCCTATGAGTGCGAGTGAAAGCAGTTTACTACCTCCCTACATGTACTATATTACCATCTCACGATGTTGCAGAACTTTCCTGCTTGCAAGATTGAATATTACACCTACAATGGTTTTACAGGGGAGGTTTTTGAATTGGCTGTATTCTGACAGAATCTGCCCTTGTGGCCTTAATAGGATCGATCCCTTCATGCCTGCTCGAACGTAGTATTTTTGAAAACATAAGGGATCATTATATCAAGCCTTTAATTAACCGTCCCCTTATACTCCAGAAACCCTGGCTCTTTTGCTTAGCAATAAGGATCCTACATTTACCTTAGCAATTGCAAAATATGCCTCAGTCCTTTTAGCCCTTGCATCCAAAAAAATAAGGAATAAGTATTTCTGCTGCTCAAGGTTTATGAATCAATGAGTTTCTAAGGGAAAAAAAGGGAAGGGAAGGAGTTTACCATCTTCACTTCTCTTTGTGGGTGGGATCTATCTACGAAACCAGAGGTGTTCATCCTAGAGTACCTGATCCATCTTTGGTCTCTAAAAACTGATTCACTCATCTCTGCTTCCTGTCTCCTTCAAGGGCATTCGCTTTTTTAACAGCTTGTGATGAAGAAGTTGGAGAGGGACTTTTTCATTTGTGTCTTCCAGTCTAGTCTACAACTCCTAGTATCGTCTTGGGGTCTGTGGTTGGTTTTTACACAAGGGCAAACCCTTGGAGCCCATGGCTGCTGCTGGTTTTTGTCTGACCACCATCAAGGTGGCTTTTCTCATCACTATCTGACCACCTGGAAGGGCTCCTGAACTTTGTGTGCTGAAATCTGATCCTCCTGGGCACAGCCAACCACTTTTATCAAGTACTATACCCTTAATGTTCAAGCCCAGGCTGATCCCTCATTTGGAAGAGCTATTCTGCATTCTTTATTCTCCTGAAGCACCTCCCACCAGCTAGGTTAGCATGCTGTCTGTACCCATCAGTGTGATGTGTAGAAACCACGAAGAAGTAAAAAAACAGGTTGCTTACCTGCAGCTGTGGTTCCCTGAGTGGTAATCTGTGTTTTGACAGAACCCACCCACCTTCCCCTCATTAGGTGCTTTTAACTTGATGCTGCTTACTCTTGTGTTTCAGAAAGAACTGAGTGGTAAAGGCACAGTTCCACCTCTTAGGGCCTGTGCAGTCTGAGGCTTCATTTTCTAAGGAAAGGAGATTGAATGCCTAAAAACTAGTTTCTAGAAGATTCCAAATTGTTGCTCTTTGCAAGCGTGAAGCCTATCAATGTGAATGCAGATGACTGCTCAAAGAGCAATAGTTACAGTTAAGCAGGCTGTTTTTCCCTTCTCATTTCTGGTTAATACTTGGTATTATCTATATCATGTTAGTGCTTCATGTAAGGCTACGGTACATTTGAATCTTCCAATGATAGAAATCCAATTAATTAATTAATACCATTTGTTGTGCCTGGTCTGCAATAAGCAATTTTTTTACATGTTACTCCCTTTTGGTTACCAGCCAAACCCACCTTCTCAGCCCTGCAGTGCATGTCCTTGTCAGAGCCATCATTGTGAAGGACAGACGCAGCATATCACACCCTGATTGTGTACAAGCATCCCCACCGCACATGCAGGAATCCACAGCTTTGTTGGGTGGATGATGTTTAGATGCCACCCATATTCCAGAGAGACCTCTTGCATACATGGTTTGTTAGAACCAGGACCTGTTGATGAGTTGGCATGAAAAAGAGGCTAAGGCAGACTATAAGTCCTCACAAGAATCATCAAGCAGTTCGTTGCTTTAAACTAGCAAGCAGACCTTATCTAGAAGCCTGTGTATGGGTCAAGAGGAACCATCTGACCCATTTGGACATATTAAGAAATCTTTTGGCTGATGTGGCTGACTGATGGCTAAATCCCAGCCTAACACCTCTTGGGATCCCAGGTTCAGGATCCACTATGGGCTTGAGCTGAGAATGTTGAACTTCATTGACAGGATCCTATGGCAGCAGAATACTAATGAGTTGTTTTTTGTCATTACAGGCACGTGATGTGCGCACCAATGAAGTGGTGGCCATCAAGAAAATGTCTTACAGTGGGAAGCAATCCAATGAGGTACATAAACTCCTGTTGTATACTGCAGGCTTAAGGCTACTGGTATTAGCTTGCTGTATTATTTATTTATTTATTAAATTTATACCCCACCCTACCCCCCAAAATGGGCTCAGGGCAGCTGTATTAGCTGTATTGAGTTAAGGTAAACATTGCCATGAGAAAAAGCCTTTACCCAGGGACCTTTGTTTATGGCATAAATTGGGGGTTTGTCACCTGCAGGGTTTTGCTTTTCCCCAAGTGAGGTGTTTTCAGGGCAGGCAGCCAAATGACATTGGCAGAGCATAAGCAAAATTAATAGTGCAAACCTGCAAGCACAATGTAAATGTTATAATCTTTTAAAATATACATTAATAGCACTTTGTAAATAAGTTTAAACCATTATGTTATATTTATTTTCCCCCACATTCTATCATAGTCTTTGTTGGGAAGTGAAAACAATTATGTTGTATTTACAAACTGGGTATAAGCTGATGGGACTATATTTCATCAGTTACAGCTCTTGTGAGTGGTCACTATAGTATACTTTGTTTTGCATGGAAATGTCACAAATGATACCTCTTGCATGGCATTGGGACAATTCTACATTCCCATCCTAACCTATTTCAGAGGGTTGTTGTAAGGATCAAATAGGGACATGGAGAATCATACATCAAGCTGAACTCCTTGGAGTAAGGGCAGAATAAAATGGAGATAAAATTATGTGATTTTGGGGCACAACAGCATTTTGGCAGAAAACGTATGATCCTGCCCTCACCCTTGTCAGAAAGGGGCATGCTTGTTGAGAGAGCCTGTGAATTTGTGGGTACTCCCAGATGAATGACACTGGGATTTGTTGTACTGCCATTAGAGATGTAAAATTCCTGGAAGCGTTGAAATGAGGGAGAAAAAAACTTGTATCTGTGCAGTACTTAATTTCTTATCAAGCGTAAACTCTTTGTGTTTAAATATCAAATGCATTATCTATAACTTAGCATATAGCATTATAATACTTGGCGTACGTATGGCATTTAAAGATATAAATGCCTTCGTTTTCTACATGTACCTAATACTAAAGAGAGATTTGCGGACTGCTGTACTCTGCTGCTTTAGCACTTTGTGTCATGTGAGAGTTAGGAAAAAGTAAAAGCTGAAGACTGAACACACAGATTTTGTAGCAAAGAAAGTGTATTGGTTGGACAGAAACTTTCTCATACGGTCATAATAGGTCTAGCAACATATTTGAGTATTTAGGTGAACTCTGCATCATTGAAAACATATTTAGTACTGAGTATTTAGCTGAACTTTGTAGCATTGAAAACAATAGTATGTTTTCATACAAAACTTCCTGAATCATATATTTTGTGCACAATATGCTCTAATGTATATTTACAGAATTATCTAATGCTATAGATTGTCTTCAACAAAAATCTTCATGGTAGCTATTCTGAGTTAATATCTTGCCTTTAAAAGCATTTTATTCATTCTAAAAGGAGAAAAAAGGTATTTCTACAGAGATTCCGAGACCCCCCCCCCCCCCCAATGCTCCAAAAACTTGGAGAGGGTTATTTCTGAATTTTTCCAGGTCCTCACATATCTAGCTGCCCTGCAAATAAACACATGGGTCATACCAACATACTTAGAATAAAACATATATGTTGAATCTTGTTCTGTAGCACTGAGAATTAAATTATAAAGTTAACTAATTCTTAGCCTGCAAATTCTGTTTTCTTAAAAACTTGCAAAGAATGATAAACACAGCTGCAGCAGAGGCACAGGCTGAGGTGGAGGGTTTGTCTGCAAATCTGAATAAACGTCAGATCAAGCAGAAACTCATGCCTTTCACTTTGAACAAATTCATCCTGAGGAACCTCACAAAGATACAGTGCAGGCGTGGGAAAATTCCAGGCTAGGCAGATTAAGGTCAGCTTTGAGTGCTACCGGCAAGAACAAGCCATGAAAGTGAGGAATGTCATACTTTCTCATAGCAACCGTGGGTCTGTCTGAGTTCTAGAACATTGGCCAAGATGATTAATTTTGTGCTCGATTGGATGTTTTTCTCCTTCCTTCTTTTTCTTTTTTCTTTCCTGCTTTTGAGAATCAGCATGGTCTAGTTGTTAGTGTTAGACTTACATCTGGGAGACCAGGGTTCAGATCTCCCCTGTGCCATGAAAGCCTGCTGTCTGACCTTGGGCTAGCCAGTCTCTCTCAGCCTGCCTCATCAGGTTCTTCTGAAGTGTTATGGTTGTGAGGATAAAATGGAGGAGGGGAGGACCGTGTTATTGTAAGCTGTTTCCCCACTGGGAAGAAAGCGGGGTATATCTGTATAAATTGGTATTCTTAAGCTCTGATTTGGACACAGTTTCTCCCCATTTCCAGTGCTGGGACTGGAAGCCGCTGGTTTCCAATTTGGAGGCCTTGGAAGCAGGCACACACAGAGACGTGAGTCTCTTGCGCTGTTCAACAGTCCCCCCCCCCCCGGAGGACTGATTCTCCTGACAAATTGTTTGAAGGCTGCATGAAAGTTCCTACAGGCTGGATGTGGCCTGCGAACCATGATTTCCCCACCTGTGCCATAGGATATTCTGTATGCAGGGAATCCTTTTATTCGTATTCAATCATGTAGCTAGGGTTGTTTCCACACAGATGTTTTGTTCTGCCTTGTTTCTCAAACCCAAGCAGTGTGTTTCAGATGATTCACACAACGCTGTCCACCAATTGTCCACTTTCCAGGACTTCTTCTGCTTTGCTCTGATCTTTCCTGAGAGATTGCAGGCCAAGCTGATTTGCACACTGTGTGGACGAGAAGGAGTGCTTTTCCAAACACATAGGCGCCATTATACTTCTGTCATTTCATGGCTACTATTTCCTCCCCTGTGCCACTAGAAGACTTTTTTTCTGGCTTTAAAAAAATTAGCAGTCACTGTATCTCTGTAGCATTGTATCGCAACTACTTGTTTCTTTTAAAGAAGATCTTGGAAAAAAACCATCCTGTGGCATGGGAATAGGGGATAGCAACCTTGAAGGGGATTACCAAGGAAAGAGCAGAGGGAACTTCCATATGGATGCTCTGTGCCAATGTATATGCCATTTGCACCAGCTAGTGAATCCACAACAGACAGCCATCGCTGTGTGGATGCAGCCTAGAATGGAGTAGTGGGGCCATGTACCTCTTGGGCATCAAAGACTGGTGGTAATATTGCCACAGTTATTAAAATGTTTGCTTTTCATTATGTAGTCATTAGGTATGTTTGCAAGATATCGGTAGCAATATATCAGGTAGTTCAGAGGCATGGTGAGGGCAGCAAGCCAGGCAGAATGGCGGTGTTGCAGCCTAAAGCCAAATGCAGAGTTCAGGGGCGAACTGGCTACTTATCTTACAGGGAAACTTCCCAGTGGGCGGCTGCCTTTGGGGGCCACTGAGGGCCAGGTCCTGCCCCAGCACCTCAGGGGCCACTTGGTGTGGGCCCTGTAGTGGCGGTGATGATTGGTATCAGCTCACCAGTTGCTGCCTCCTGCATTGCAGACAGTTTGCAGGAGGAAGGAACAAATAAGCCGATGTCTGTGGCACTGCTAAACTGAGGGGCCCTCCAATGCTGGTTTGTAGTGCCTCTGGAGCCATTTTAACTTCCTAGTCTGCCCGTGGCAGAGATTTGTGATTGTGAATTCTTGCCCAACCACTTTGAACAGTAACAGTGTACCTGGCCAGCGAGAACATATTATTTAGAAGTGAAAGATTTAGCCGTTCCGAGCTTGTCCTGATGCTGTAGCCATAGAGTTGAGCACCATTGGAGGCTTCAAAATACCAAGCAAGGTGCTGCTCCTCTCTGTACATTGGAGAGATGAATGTAACTTACTGAAGAATTTTTCCATGAGGGCTGAGCTATGGCTGCACTCTGTTTCCTGACTCATACAATTTGTTTCACCGTGTAATGGCGAAATTGTAATTTGTATCTCCTCCTCCTGCTGTTTTAATTATGATTGAGCTATAAATACTCTGCTCCCATCAATGAAACATGGTTCAGAAATAGGGCTGGTTTGTCTTGGGCGGGCGGGCCAGTATTTATTTTGAAAGAGATAGCGCAGTTAATAAAACCCTTTCTGGTTTTCCCTGTTGCAAAGAGAGAAGGCAGCTCAAGCTGCAGTTATGACTAATCGGCATCTCCAGTGTGCAGAATGCAGCCTTGGCCTTATTGATCTTTGTAGCAGTCCTATGGGAGAAGAGGTGATGGGGCAGAGGCTGCACCTCTTCCAGTGTTGTTGTAGCCCTCCCCTCCCTCCCTCCCTTTCTTTCTGTTTTTATTTTTCTCTCGCCCTTCCTCGACAATTATCAACGTGGTTTTTCTTGCTTTTCTTCCAAGGACCTCAGGACGGCATACATGGTTCTCCCCCTCCTCCATTCTATCTTCCCAGTATAACCCTCTGAGCCACATTAACATCCTGCATCGCAATTCCGTTCATCTAATCAATACCTTCTCTGTGTTCCTTCCTGCAGGCAGATAAAATCTATTGCTGCCCCATCTTGGATTTTCATTCTGGTGTCTCCTATGTTACTGAATGGCCTTTTCCTGAAAATGTTAGGAAGCCCCCTGCTCAAAACTTTGCAAGGCAGACTTGTTTAGGAAAATGTTTGAAGATGGCTAGTGTGTATTGATAATTCTGCTTCTGTCTGGTTGATGTTGGATGTTGGGCTGTCATTTATGTGAAATTTGTTTTCTGTAACATTGGGAGCTGCCTACTTGCTTATAGCTATGCGACATGAAGTGGACTGGAAGACGACTGGAGTGATGTTGGCAGGGGACTCTTTGATGAGTGAGAGAGCACATGTGCATCATGGTATGGCTGATATTCTAAAGGGACTGAATCTGCTTGTCCTAAATGGTGTGACATTGACTTTTTCAGAGCAGGTTAAGAGCTTACAGGTGCTCATGGACCCTGCCTTGCTGTTTGAAAAGGCCAGGAGCACCTTCTGTCAATGACATCTGATTCACCAACTTTCTCATTACCTGGACTCAACTAACCTG